GCGCGCGCGGAGCTGCGTTCCGCGAACGGCATATACATCACTTATCGACTTTTTGTAGTAAGCGCGCGCGGAGCTGCGTTCCGCGAACGGCATATACATCATTTATCGACTTTGCGCAGTAAGCGTGAGCGTGAGATTTTTGCACGAACGCCGCAGCGATGTGAGAGATATTTTTGCAGGCGACTGCTAGCCCCAGGGGCCGCTAGTAGCCGTACCTTTTACGAAAAAATTGCGAGAACGCGAGCGCTGACACGACCAGCGCGAGCGCGAGCGTGCAGATGAGGTAGAACGCGACGGAGCTCTCTTCCATGTGGCTTTTCAAGTTCATGCCGAAGATGCCGCTGATCGAGCTGCTCGCCGCGATGCCCACCGAGAAGATCGTGCAAGTGACTTCCCAAAGCTGGAACGTGTTGCGCGACATGTTGATTTTGTTCTTGACGAGCGACTCCAAGTTTTCGAGCACGGTGTACACGTGTAAAATGTCCGCGAGCAAAATCTCCACCTCCTGCCCGAGGTGCTCAACAAGCACCTCGGTGTTCGGGTTGATTTCGAGCTGGTCTTTCTCGTCGCCCGCCAAAACCCCGTTGCCCAAGTACATCTGGTGGCAGTAGTGCCGGCGGAAGAAAATTTTGGTGAGCTGCAGCGAAAACATGCGCTCGTCCGAGTCGACCAGCTCGTCGAGCGCGCGACTGATCGCCTCGATCTGAGACTTCAACGTTTGGATCGGCTCCTTGTAGTCGTAAATCTGCAGAAAGTGGTTCTTCTTCAGCGAGCCGCCGCGGATCGCCGCTGCGAGCAGCTGCATCCGACTGTCCCAGTTGCTGACCTGCCGCTTGAGGTCGGCGTAGACGAAGTTCATGAGCAGCTCGAGTAGCTGCAGTTCCAGGGGAAAGGCGACGAAGCGCGGAATCATGGTCTCCGTGGTCGGCAGCGTCTCGGAGTTTTTGAAGACCATGCCGAACGCGAGCGTGTTCTCGGGTCCGCGGCTGTGTGAGCTGTTCGCGAACGAGCCGCTCGTGTCGTAGTCCATTTGCGAGTTCATGTGCCGGATGGGCGCAGCGGACTCGTAGTGCTGCTGCACGGCTTGCAGCTGGTCGCGGTACGCGGCGGTGACCTTGTTGATCTTCGCGAGCAACGCGTTGATGTCGAAGCGCTGCGAGAGCTTGATGATTACGCGGTCGTGCATGATTACGGCGGTGATCGGCTTGATGCTCAGCAGAATGCAACTGCGCCGCTCCTCGATCGACGGAAGCGAGTTCCCGACGTCGCTGAAGATCTGCTTCAGGTCGTTGTACGAGACTTCTCCGCCGATCTTGGAGTGCGTGTGGTTGCGAATCACTTTCACGAGCTCGCCAATGCTCAGCTCGACGATTTGGTGCTCGCCCCAGGCGCATTCGACGACTGTGTAGCGCTCGATTTTGCTGAGTAGCGGCAGTGCCGAGTTTGTCGCGCCGCAGAGCTCCGCGTCCACCATCTCAGCCGTCGGCTGCAGCGTTGCCATTTTCCCACATAAGAAATAGCAAAAAGCTCGTTGGCTAAATTCGAATATAAATTTGCGGCTGCGCCCTCGAAGCCGATGGCCACGCCGAGCAAAGGAGGCCTGATGCAGGCTTTCGAAAAGGAGTACATCGCGATCAACCAAATCATGGGCTCGCTGTTCACGGAGGCGCAGACGGTGAGCCCGAACGCAGTGCTGCGGCTTTGCTCGGACTTCATCCACCTGTGCGACGGAAAGGTGGCCGAGGAGCTCGAAATCGACGTGTGCGAGGCGCTCGCCGAGGTGTGCAAGGAGAAGAACGGCGACCTGTCGTTGTTCCTGGAGTCGCTGCCGATCATCCGCGTGATGTGGCTGTTCAACGCGTGGCTCGACAACCTCGGGATCAGCTTCCCGTTTTTGGAGCGCGTGCTCAGCTCGGGGCTCGAGTACGCGCACGACGCGGAGTCGGTCGCGCAGGCGCGGCGCGACATTATCAACCTGTTCCACGTCGCGCTGCTCTTCCGGCAGCTGTCGAAGGAGTGCGAAGCGTTCTGCAGCGACACTTTGCGCGAAATCGACGCGCTGACTGCCGAGTACAACGCGCTGCTCGAGAACGCGGTGCTCGCCGGCGCCGAGAAGACCAAGCTCGAAAAAGAGTTAAAAGAGCGCAAGGCGCAGCTGCAGATGCTGAAGGAACGCTACGAAAAGCTGCGCAGCGAGTACAAAGAGCGGGAACTGCAAAAGAAGCGGCTGGAGTACGACTTCAAGCGCTACCAGCAGGATCAGCAGGCTGCGCGCGGCGCGGTGCAGCAGCTCGAAGAGGCTGTAAAGACGCTCGAAGCCTCGCTCGACGAGAGCAACAAGCCGAAGATCAGCGCGGAGGACGTCGGCGTCCTGCAGAGCGAATACAAAGAGAGCCAGAAAGAGCTGCAGACGGCGGAGCGGCAGATGAACATAATGAACCACAGGCTCTCCGTGCTGCGCGCAAACGCGCGGCTGCTGAACCAGGTGCGCAGCGTGTTCGACAGCGTCACGGTCGGCGAGTATGTCGCGCGCATCGAGGCGGTCCGGAACCTCGAAGACGAACATCGGCAGCTCTCGAGCGCGCTCTCAGAGTTGGTGGCGAAGTACAAGGCGCTCGCGGAGAACCAAGAGCTCGAGTCGCGCGAAGAGAAGTTGAGCGACTTGAAAGAGCAGATCATCAACGCCGAGACCGAGTACAAGACAAGCGTCGCGAAGCTTAGCGAGCTGGAGGAGGAGGAAGACGAGTTTGCCGACTACGAGACGAAGCTGGTGGACGTGCTGTCCGCGCTGCGGAGCAAAAAGGAGAAACTGCTCGAGTCGCGCGCCGCGTTGGAAGACGTGACCAGAGAGGCGTGCGAGCAGTTCGCGCAGCAAATGGAGGCGCTCGAGGCGAGCGAGGCGCAGATTGCGCAGGCCATGACTAGCTATGTACAAAACAGTTTGCGCCGGTTTCGCGAGATGCAAAGCGATCTCGAAAGCACGCTCAAAACGCACAGCTAGCTGGTGGCCTGGGCGCGACTCGACACGTTGCAGCCCGCAGAATATGAGTGCATGCGCCGCAAACTTTTTTATCCTCGCTATGAAGTGCAATATTCAAGAACTGATCTCTCAAATTCCGTCGAAACCGGTTTTCAAGTCGGCTTACTACTTCGCCATTCAGCCGCTCGTTGCGGCGCTCGTGACGAGCTCGGGCAGGCAGACTAAAAACGTCTCGGAATTCATCGCGCTGCGCGGCTTCTTGCCGCTCAATGCGGCGCTGGTGAAGTTCCACGACGTGGAGAACGTCAGCAACGACTTGCTGAGCATCTACGAAGCCGCGTTCAGCGTCGCGATGGCGGACAGCTCGAATCAGCTTGCGCAGCAACTCCACGAGCAGCAGTACTTCGACGCGCTCGTCAGCTTCATCAACTCGGCGGACCGCGAGCACGACGAAAATGTGCAGCGCGCGGGCAAGGTGCTGTTCGGGCTGGCCGAGAAGCAAACCTCGTTGCTCGACGGGCTGCCGGACATGAGCGCATTCGCCAACGCGGCGCTGCGCAGTCTCGAGAGCGGAGCCGCGACAGACTCGCGCAAGCTGATGCTTGCGAAGATTTTCTCGCGGCTGAGTGCGTCGTCCGCGATACAGCAAATCGCGCAAGACGGCAGCGTGCTGGAGCACTTGCTCGATCTGCTCACTTCCGACGCGCTGCACGTGGGCTCGAAGTACGAAGACGAGGAAACGCTGAGCCGCCTGCTGGACTTCCTGCAGGCTTTGGCCAAAGCTAGGCCGTTAGAAGACGCGCAAAAGTCGCGTCTGATTGCGCTGGTATCAAAGTTCGAGCGCAAGCACTCGCTGGCGAGCAAGCTCGAGCAATGCATCTTCCAGGGCATTGACTTGGACGCGGAAGTCGAAAAGTTGACGCAGCTGCTCGACGCGAGCGACCTGGCGAGCGTGCGGCTTGGGCGCTACTTTGTGGTCGTCGCGCTGAACTCCGCTGCGTCTGAAAAGCTGCTCGAGCGAAACATGCCCGCGCGGCTGGTCGAGCTGCTGCTCAAAAACGCGGACCCGGAGACCGCGGAGGTGGCCTGCACCGTGCTGCGCTACAACTGCCGCAACAGCAAAGTGCTGTCGAACCTGATCGCGAACAACGCGATGCAGTCGTTCATCGAGCTGTTTTCAAACAGCAAGCAGCCGCGCTGCATGACCGCTTACCTGAACGTGATCGCAGTGCTGTGCCAGGACGCGACGACGGCGGAGCAGTTCTTGGGCAGCAACGCGGTGGAGCTGCTGACGCGGCTGATCACGGACTCGGCAGACTTCGCACTGCTCGACGCGGCGTCGAAGCTGTTCGAGAACGTCGCGAAGCACGCGAGCTGTGCAGACGTGTTGCTGGACATCGGCTTCAACAAGCTGTGCACGGTGGCGTTCGCGCAGCAGCAGAGCGAGCTGATTGCGCTGTGCGCGAACATCATTGCGCTGTTCATCAAGCACGTGACGATCCCGCTCTCGCGCGAGTTTGTGCGCGAGCTGACGCAGCGGCTGGAGCGCAGCGCGGTGCCGAAGGCCGCGCTGCCGAAGCTGGTCGAGCTGGTCATCGGAAATCCGGAGAAGGCGTTTATGACCGCTGCGAACCGGCCGGCGCTGGTAGAGCTCGGGCTGAATCCGGACGAGTTGGCGACCGTCCCTGACGCGTTCCAGCTGAGCTACGTGCTGCTGATTCGGCCCGAGTTGCCGAACAGCGCCGCGCGCCAGCTGGAGGCGTTCTGCGCGGCGCACATAAACAGTCTCGACGACGCGGACATCCAGGCGAGCGTCGACCGCATTTCGCGCAACGAGGGCAACGCCGTCGAGAATCTGATTGCGTTCCGCGTGATCTCGCAGCACCCGCACGCGAAGGAGCGCATTGGCGCCCATCCGGAGCTGATGCGCGTGCTGCGCGCGGCAGTGGAAAGCGCGATTCAGAAGTTCTCGTTCAAGGAGCAGGACCAACTGAAGAACTACTTGGCTGCGTACTTCGCGCTGTCGCACGTGGTCGGTCCGTTCGCGGTGTTCGCGGACTTCATGAGTTTGATGCAGACCGAGCACGTCTTGGCCAAGCTGCGCAAGGCGCAGAACGAGAGCCTGAACGCGACGATCGTCGCCGCGGTGCACGACTTCGCGCTGCAGCTCGAGAAGTGCAGCGACGCGGAGATGGACGAAGTCGCAAAGCTGCTGATTGGCTGTTTCAGCGAAAACGTGGACTACAAGAACACGCTGCTGCTCGCGACGCACTTCATAGCGAGCTTGGTCGACACGCTCGGCAAGCGCGTGGCGGAGCGGCTCGTCGCAGCGCAGTTCCACCTGACGCTGCACAACACGATAAAGCGCTCGATCATGATTCCGAGCTTCGTGAACCTCGCGTTCCGCATTCTGCGCGTGCTGATCCAGGACAGCGAGTCGCAGACGGCGAAGGAGATAGTCGCGGGCGGCGTCGAGCACACGATCAAGCAGTTCTTGAAAATCGCGGACGCGAGCGACCCTGCGCGGCAGCCGATTGCGGAAGTGACGGCGCTGTGCATCCCGCGCGAGATGAAGTCCAAGAAAATCAAGGACCTGATGAGCGAATTCGACGCGGCGTTGGTGCGCGGCGCGCCGCTGTCGGAGCTGACTGCGCTGACCGAGACGATCGAGTCGAACACGACGACGAGCAGCGACCGCCGACTCGTCGGCGCGCAAGGCGTCGCAGACTTGCTGGTGTCGGTGAACCAGAGCCCGCAGCTGCAGAAAGCGTCGGTGAAGGAGCGCCTCGCGTTTTACGAGGAAGAAGCTTCGTTGCTGAGCAACTTGTCGAAGAACGCGGCGAACCGCGCGAACCTGCGCATGGCCGCCGTGCCGGACGTGCTGGTCAAGAGCTTGCGCGACTTGGTCGGCGTGCTGCAGGTCTCGAACGACGCAGAGGTCGTGCGCAGCTCGGAAAGCGTGCTGAGCCGCCTGCTCGAGAGCACCAGCGTGCTGCTCTTCGCGCGCGACGCGCGCGGCGAAGCGGCGGTCGCGCCGGCGCTCGAACCGGAAGTCGCGGCGCAGTTGAACGAGATGGTCGAGCACTGCCTGTTCCACATGGCGCCGCGCGCCGACCTGGTCACGCAGATCGCGCAGCTGGTGAACCGCGGCGTGATCACGGACGTTAAGAAGACCGAAAAGTTGCTGACTTCCGCGTTGTACCTGATCAGCTCGGGCGGCGGCCCGGAGCTGTCCGCGCTGAGCGAAGAGGTGCGCAGCATTATGCAGAAGCCGGAGCTCGCCGCAGTGGTCGAGAAGACGATTGACCTGGAGGGGCTGTACGACGCGCTGCAGAAGTCGACTTCCGAGAAACGCTCGCTGGAGCTGCTGCAACTGTTGAACGCGCACCAGCTGCCCGAGGAAGTCGGCGCCGCGGCAGCGCAAGACCACATTCGCGCGCTGCACGCCGTGCTGCAGCGCTCGAGCGACCCGGAAACGTGCAAACAAGTCGTCTGCGCGCTCGCGCGGCAGCTGTCGAACTGCTCGGAGACTGCGAGTTTGTCGGAGTTGCGCGAGCTGCGCGAGCTGCTGAAGATGAGTCGGCAGATCGACTTCGACAACCGCACGACCGAGACGCTGGTGCGCATCGAAGCGAAGCTCGAGTCGAGCTTCAGCCCGGACGCGATTCTGGCGGAGTTCGAACAGACGCAGGACGCGGACTACTTGGTGGAGCTGCTCTCGCGCGTGGAGCGCTGCGTGATCAAGAACCAGATCGCGCCGGAGCAGATTGAGAGCTACGTGCTGAAGTGCTGCGCGTGCGTCGCGAAGGCGCTGCAGTCCGGGCAGTTCACGGTCGAGGAAAGCGCGCAAGTGCTGCGCGCCACGCTGCTGCTCTCCGAAATCGCGAAACTCACAGACCCGGGCTGCCAGAACGCGATGGTCGGCGCGCTCGAAGAAACGCTGCTGCCCGCGCTCGCGCAGCCGCTCGCGCAGCTGTCCGCCGGCGAGCTGAAGAGCGCAGACGTGCCGCTGCTCCGTGAAGTGTTCAACACGGTGCTGCAAGACTGGGACAAATTCTCGCCGGACTTCGCGCAGTCGGCGACGTGCAAGACGATAACGGAAGTGTGCGCGAAGGCGTTCATGGACGAGTCGGGCTGCGCGCTGCCGATCGCGAGCGAAGTGTCGAGCCTGATGTCGAAGTTCTTGCAGAACGCGGCGTGCAAGCGCGAAGGGCTCGCGAAGCTCAACGCGGAAGCGAGCGCGCTGCAGAGCTCGTACGCGAAGACGGAGAACAAAGCCGTCGCCGTGACGGTCGACAAAATCTTCGACGCGAAGCAGAAGGCGCTGCAAAGCGAAGGCGCCGCGACGGCCGGCGCGCGCGTCGGCGAGCTCGGCGCGAGCCTGAACTTGCTGTCGAACCTGCTCGCGGTCTCGCAGAACAAAGAAGAGGTGGCGACGGTGGTCAGCGACGTGTACGAGAACGTGAGTCCGCTGCTCGACAAAAACGCGCAGCTCGCGGTGAACATGATGAGGTTGCTGGCGGCGAACCCGCAGAACTTCGCGAACGACGAGCGCGTCGCGGACATCGTCGAGAACATCATCGACTTGCTGTCGGACCCGACGATTGACCCGCGGCAGTTGGCCGCGACGAAGCAGGCGATTGGCGAGCTGATCAACTCGATCCCGGGCCGCGTGCGCAACGCGAACCTCGACAAGCTGCTGGAGTTCGCGCTGAGCAACATCGGCTCGGCGGTCGACGAGGCGCGCTTCATGCACACGATTAGCGAGAAGGTGAAGAGCGACGAGCCGACCGCGGTGCACGTGGCGCAGCATTACGTGCCCGCGCTGCACGAGCACGGCGACGCGCTCGCGAGCGGCGACGCGCGCACGGAGTTCTCCGCGCTGCTGAAGAACCTGGTGCAGCACGAGACGGTCGCGTCGTACCTGAAGAAACAGAACGCGACG